TAGTCACAAATTCCTACTCCAAGGACGAAGCAAAAAATTTCTTCAATCGAGAAATCTATGGCAACAATAAAGCAGCATTGACGGAGGTCCTATCGACTGTATCCTGAAATTCTATCACTCCTTCATGTAACTGAATGGGCTTACCATTCAAATGAATCAAAGAACCGGAAGAAAGGAGGGGGAGGGGATGAGTTGCTTAGCAGCAATTTCCTGATATTCGTCGTTCCAGCTGAAATAATGAGAACAAATTAGCAGAGCACCAGGGCTACTTACATTTTCATCTACCCTAACTAAAACAGGTTTTCAGGATACCTCGAATTTGTTCTCAGTTAGCTCTTTTTCCAATTGCATTATCTATCGTAAAAATGGAAATTATTTTTTTCTGCCGCTGCGAGTATTTTGCATCTAGCACCCGGTGCCCTCAGAAATATTGGCTTCACTCTTAAAGCACCTTGTCTTTCATATTGCGTCAGTTATCGAAAAGGGCAAAAGCACTACCAGAAGTCATATTGATGAAGCAAACAAGCAGCAAAGAAGACACGATGCATTCAACATTTCTTTCCAGAAGAACGAAACGCCATTTCCACCAGAAGATTAATCGAAAAGAAATACCAATGACATTTGATGACATAAAACCGCAAAGTGATGAAAGACATATACTCGTAACATGTGCTAAAGCTGACGGATACAAATCGTTACCTTGCGAGATGCTATCGTCTAACGTCAGTTGCTAATTTCAGATTGTAAATATTCTTTTCTTTTGCATACGATAATTATGTTGCAAAAAGAAAAAGATGCTGTCATCAGCAAGGAATGAAGCTGGCGACTAAAACCCCTCGCTTTACCCAGTTGCCCTTCGCTTCCATGTGATATGCAAAAAATCTCATTCCTAGAGTTCCCCCTCCATAATGTAAATGTGATGTGCTTAGAAATGAAATGGGATTGCTTTTGTGTTTTAAGTTAATTGTGTGGCAGCAGCTTCAGCCGATCCTCTCCTCCCCCCGGTATGTTGTCGCACTATGTGGCAGCAGCATGGAGCTGCTGCCGATTCTGCCTCGCCCTGGTGTCATCGGTTTGTTTGTTTTTTTAAATAAAGCATTGGTTGTTTGGGTAAGTGATCACCACACACGCACAGAAACGCATTCGGTCCAGGGCGTTCTCCACGCGTTACAGTTAGACTAACCTTCTACTAATACGTTGATCATAGCATAAAGCTTATATTCAACTATTACGTTATATACAGCATAAAGAAATTCTAATTGCGATAGGC